TCTATTCTGTAGGATCTCAACCTGCAAGAATTTATGCATTACCTAAGATGCATAAAGTTAGTTAAGTTAGTTCTCTTCCAACATTTCGACCTATCATCTCAACAATCGAAACATATAATTACAATCTTGCCAAACATCTTTCTCGTTTATTGTCTCCTCTTATACCTAAACAATTTTGCACTTTAGACTCATTTTCTTTTGTTGAAGAAATCAAACAAATTAATGTAACTAATAAATTTATAGTTTCATATAATGTTGAAAGTTTGTTCACGAATACTCCACTTAAGGAATCCATTAACATAGCAACTGATTTAATTTTTAAACATAAAATTAACTCAAAACGTTTTTCAAAAATTCAGTTTAAAAAATTACTTCAAATTCCCACATCCGGTTCACATTTTTTATTTGACGGAAAATATTACGATCAAACGGATGATGTTGCTATGGGTTCTCCTTTAGCGCCCATCTCAGTGTGAATACTGGCAAGAAGACAGGTGTTGTTTTTTGGCTGCACCAAACGTTTGATGAGAAGGGTTACCACAAGACCAAGTTCATCAGTTGTTCTGCGCTGAAGATTTTAATGAACTATCTGCAGTGCTAAATGACTATCCAAAAGGTTTCAGATGCTTGCAAAACCACTGGAAAACATAAGAAATTCTAACAAAAGTGCTGTGAGCGTGCAATCAAAAGTTTGTAAGTCCTGTATGACTCCTGCTGCAACAAGGACAACCTTCCACTAAGATTCATCCTGTCCAATGAAATTATTGTAAATAATTGACTGAAGTTTGAGTGTTGAACACAAAAGAAACCTCAAAATTTAGGCAAAAAAGTAATAAAATAAATAAATAATAATATAATAAATAAAAAAAATAAATAAAAAATTTTAAATCATTTTCTGTGTGACATTTTTAAATTAAATCACTTTGAAAGGAAGATTTTATCTATTCTTTAATAAAAACTCATCAGACTATGATACTGAGAAACAAGGTTGTAAAAAAAGTCATCACCCTAATGTACACTAATATAGATAATATTTATGTCTAGGTGTTAATATATTTATTCATAGCCACACCACGTGCATCCCTTACCACATTAACAAGATCTCTAAGATCTCTTTCTTACAACTTTATATTTATTTTATTTTGTTGTTTTATATTGACAATATTTTTAGTCACACAAGCACTAATTAAATCAGCAAACTTATATAGACTTGCCATCTCACAGACCATTAATGAATAATTTGCTAACAATAACTTGAGCGTGAGTTATGATCCTTCCTCACCACCTGAGCAGTGAGATTTTATTCCTGCTATTAAATAGTCATAACGCTTATTACTGATTCTTACCCAATGACATCAACAATCTATTTTTATTATCACATCCCCCAGGTCTACTTAACTGGACAACTCGATTGGGCACATGTATGAGATGATTGTGTCTCAAAACAAATTAAAAGTATATTCTTTGTGGCTGGTGAGCACTGCCTTCTTCAAATGTAAACCACAACTATAAAACTGATATTAGGATATTGTTAACGCACTCAATAACCTAATGATAACACTGACACTACCTCACATGTTCATTACGAAGCTCTACGATGCACATCAGATCAGTGCTCACTGACTATGTGCTTGGATCTAAAATCACACTTCTTAGCATATCATACCAGTACAGAGTTCTAGCTCTTTTGGCTAAGAGTGCCCCATAATGGTGATTAATGTATGTATTCAACCAATTGAAATCCATTCTAAAGGTCTTACGTCTGGCCCTGATGTGCTAGATTGTAAACCCAAGAATTGAGTATGTTTCTGTTCAATTGATTTGAAAATGGATGAAAATATAACCAGACCAATAACACTATCTACAATCTGTTTTTATTACCACATTTTCAAGGTCTTTATAATTGCATAACTCCGTTAATCACCTACATTTGATTATTGTGTCACATAAACATTAAAAAGTATATGAAAAAAAATAATTATAAAATAAAGATATGTATACAAATAAGAGTAAAACAAGGTAGACCTGCAAGCAAGACACTTTTAGTACATTGACTGAGAGTTTGAGGAGACAATTCATACTTTTTCAAGATAAATTTTTATTTTGAGTTTTTTAATATTCTATCAAATGCTATTCTGTGATGTAAAAGATGTGTGTTTTTTTTAAACAATAAGAATCATGGTTTTTAGATTTTTTTATCACAAAAAACAAATCAAAATGCTAGAGACAATATGTTTGAAAATCTGTAAGTTTTTAAGGTAGTCTAAGTAAATACCATAATTTTAAAATTTATGTTAAAATTATAAACTATGATGCAATTGTTAACAAATTTACATTAGTAATTTAATTTATTAATGTAATTTAAACTCAATAAATAACAATTACAACCAATCCAATTAAATAATTCACAAACTTTGTGAAGTATGGTGAGCTTAATAATTCTAATCACTAAAAAATAAATATTAGAAGTACTTAAAAGTGCTTGTAATATTTATTTTTTAATATTTATAAATGTTTTTATTTTAAAATAAAATAGAAACCTGCGAACATAAAGGAATAGACACGAGTTCATTTATAAATTCTTCAATAATTGGACTTAAATGGTGATCTAAAAAAAAAATATTTAATTAAAATTTTAAAAGCTAAAAATCTCTGTCTTCAAATTATCTTCAAAGCACTTTATAGTTGTTATATATTTTCAATTATAATTTAAATATATATATATATATGTATGTATATATATATATATATATATATATATATATATATATATATATATATATATATATATATATATATATATATATATATATATATATATATATATATATATATGTATATATATATATATATATACATATATATATATATATGTATGTATGTATGTGTATATATATATATATATATATATATATATATATATATATATATATATATATATATATATATATATATATATATATATATATATATATATATATATATATATATATATAATAAACCTACCACCTTAGTTTTTATAAATATCTTTTTTTGTAATTTACAAAAATAATTAAAAAGAATTAACTTTTTGATTTTAACTCACTGCCTACCCTAATGAAAAATCCAAGCAAGTATTTTTTGGTTAACAATGAACAAAGACTTATTAAAGCATATATTTATTCATAATGTGAATCTCCATTGCGGCAATAGTATATTTTTAAAGGCTTATTTTTAAACTTAAATATTCTATATTTACATTTTGTAACTGACTATGTTAATTTTTAATCATGCTTTGTAATTTATACTAGTAAATTTATAAACCTCTTTGTAAACTAATTTTTTGTTTAAATTAAAAGAAAAAACTATTTTACACAAAAATTTTTATTTATTTATAACTTTTCCAGTTATTTTTTTTTTGCTCACTGGAGACTAAAAATCAATTTCTTTATTTAATTTATATTTTATTTTTTTGTTTAAAAATGTCTCTTAATGTAAAGTAAACAGTTTTTAAAAATTCATTTTAGTCAGGGAAATTTCATTTTAGTCAGAGAAAATGAAATCAAAAATTACTTGATCCCCCTGAAATATTAAACATGTAATTGTACATAAGTGTAAATAATATTGTATAAAATATGTATGTTTACACATTGTATTTTTATATACTTTATACAATATTAATGTTAATGATTTATTTAGATACAATATTAGTTTCAACATTTTTAACATTTATTAAAGGTTAGCTTAAATAGCAGATTACATAAACTGGAATGTAAAGGATGTTTGCACATACTTAAAATTAAAAGGTCTACCAGAACTTAGACATATTGGTTAGATTAGAGTTTTAATTTATTTTCATAGTTAAAAACTATATTATTACTATATATTGTCATTATATGAAGCACAACTAAAATAAAAAATAATGTACATTTTAAAACATTAGTTAAAAAAAAAAAAATAAATAAATTAAAAAAAAGATAAACAAAAATAATAATAAATAAATAACAGATGGTTAGCAATATATATATATATATATATATATATATATATATATATATATATATATATATATATATATATGATGTCATCCCATGACCTTATTATAAAGCATAAACCATCCTACCACCTTTTTATAAATCTCTATATATAATATTCAGGCCTCGGCGGGAAGAAATGAGTGCAAGAGCGGCAAAAAGCTCTCCTAAAACGAACATGGCAAACTATGCAAGCTGCTCCTCTACATTCTTTAGACAAGCATTGTTTTTACTGCTTATAAAAAAAAATTTATATTTTCCTATTGTAATAGATTGCAGGCATTTTTCAATTATTAAAAATAATTATTAAAATGACTGCGTTTTTTATTTTAGTTACAATGAAAATTAAACTTTTGAGAGAAAGAACTATACTTTTTTGAGAGTAAATCAAAACAAAAAACAAAAACATATATAAATTAAGATTCAACAAACGTGTCAATTTTAATTAAATTCTTCTACATTATATATTTTTTGAGAAATCAATTTTTGGGTCTTCAGAAAAATCTAAAAAAAGCTGTAACTAAAATAAGTTATTATAAGTTCAACAAAGTTGTCACTAAGGTTGTCACCCATCTTTTACAGAAACATGATACTTGTGATACATGATTGCTGATTGTGTAGTTCAGAATAAATGTTATAGGTTGAAAGAAAATTGAAAGGATATTGTTGAAGAAATAATTGAAAAAAAAAAAAAATGACAGTGATCCTTCAAAAATGCAAGAAACTGAGATACAAGCAAAATACAATTTTATAATTAAATTTTAGTACAAATACTTATGACATGTTCACAAATGAATCAGTGTTTTTTAAAACGGTAGATGTTAGGGATGTACCGAAGCTAAAATTTTGCCGAAGCCGAAGCTTCGGCCGAAGCCACTTTGCCGAAGCCGAAGCTTCGGCCGAAGCCGAAGCTTCGGCACTATATAAGCGTAAAATTTAATCAACATTCAAATCAGCAGGGGTGTAAAACAAAAAAGGTTCCAAAACTAAGATCCTTGACTAATAATATAGAAAAAATGTATAAAAATGAGGACACAAGTCAGGGTTGCTGCCCCAGGCAGGGCAAAAGCTATCAGCGCCCCTGTTTGAAAGTTTCTCATTATGTCGTTTCTGATACTTCACCGCACCTAGTTTTTTTTTTTTAAACTTAAGCTTTTTTAAAACATTCTCCCAAAATTTTCCTACTTCTAGTTCTACTTTTTCTGTGTACAAACCATATTAATGTTATATAGAGCACAATATCAGTAACTCACATATATTTCCAACTATTCTCAATATTTTTCTAAAATCAGTGCTATTTTTATGATCTTTTATAGCCATACTGTTCTTCTATGTAAACATCGTTTCTCTTTAATCCTCTATCTAATCATCTAATTTTTAATCCTCTATTTAATCATCTTGTTTGCTCTATCTAATTATAGTGTGCTAGCTGAACATCCTCAAATTTTATTCCCCATAAATTACTGTTACGCATCTTTTCATGTGCTGTATATTTTATTTTTATTTTTAATGCACCATTTGTTAAGAGTGGATAAAAATCTCTAAATATTACTCAAGTAAACTAATCTTTTACACTTGAACACTCTTTCTCTAAATAAATACTCTTAGCTGATCTAGTTGTATCTACAACATAAAAAATCTTACAAACACACTTTATCTTTTTATTGCTATTTATTTCAATATCTTTTTTTTGCTTCTCTGTATTCATTAAACAAACAATTTCTAAACTAAAAAAAACCCCAAGTTAAGACCATTTTGTATTCCACTACAACTGTTGTGAACTTGCTGCTAAAAAAAAGTACAATTGATAGATTTCTCTCTAACTTCTTTTTTGCACACTTTTAAGTTGTTGTTTTTTTTTATTATTATTATTTTTAATTTTACACTACATAACATTTTCTTAAGCTTCTGTTAATCTTTTACACTCTGAAATTATAGTATTCATTCTTCTTCTGTCTCTGTAATGGATAAATCTGCATCAGTATCTGAAATCAAATATTAACTATCTGTTACAAAAACTTCTATAGTAATCTAACAACTCAGTAGAGTGAGCTTTAAATAAAACAATAAATAGAATACTTTATAAATTTTTCATTTATAATTATATTATTATTTATTTTATATTTATAAATAAACAGGGACTGAGCAGGCTGATATTTATTTGATTTAAATTGTTTATTTAATTTAAATAAATTTTGATGATAAATATAAGAGCTCAAAGTAATCAAAGCTTTAACCTTTAATTTATTTTAAATAAAATTTAAAAGTCTTCATATCATAAGAAGAAACCAGAATATAAGTTTATATGTTTAATATATAAATTCAATTTAGAAGTATTCATAATATTAATAAAAGAGCAAGGATAATTATTATCATTGTTTTTCTTTTTCTTTTAATTTATATAGTTTTGGTTGACTTTTTTTTTCTTTTTTTATTCTCCTCATTTATATTTCATTTGCTTTTCTTCCTTTTTTGTTGTTGAGAACTTTATGTTTTTTATGTGTCACTCCATTGACTAGTTTGTAACTTTATAAGTGACACCTAACCAATTTCTGTAATCTTACGATGAAAATTTGTAAATTTTTATTATTATGGTTAAATAAAATTTAAAAAAATTAAACATACACAGAATTTAAAATAGTAGCAACGTATCTTTAATCTTCTTTAAAGTGAGATTACTAAGGTTTATAGGTCAAATGTTGAAACCAATTTTTGTTCTATTTGCGGTAATCCCACACAAAAATTGATATAAATTCGTTACATAATACAAATTAAGGTTTTTTTTCCATTTTATTTTTAAAAAGTTTTAATTTGTTTTAAATTATAAGGTTTTTATTCTGCATAAAAATGCTGATTTAGTTCATCTAAGTCACACTTGGAAGCCTTCAAAGTGTATGAGGACCTTCCTTAATTTTACTATTATATTCAAAATATTTCTACTTATTTATTATCATCCCCTCCATAACAAGACATTTGGGAGTAAACAATACTAAGTATATGATATAGACTCTAACTTTAACTCTGTAGTCCTGAATTTACAACTTAATTAGACACTGGCAATTAGCATATTTTTATAACTTGTACAACAGTAGCTTATAACTTTAATTACTTAAAATTTTTTGCCGAAGCCAAAGATTCGGCAAAAAATTGACCTGGCTTCGGCCGAACCGAAGCTTCGGCAAAATTGCCGAAGCTTCGGCATGCCGAAGCCGAAGCCGAAGCTTCGGTACATCCCTAGTAGATGTGTTCAAAACATTTTGAGCAAACCTCTCCTTTTAAAAAACAAATTAAATTTAGATTTACTAATAACATAGGGTTATATCTATGACCTAATGTTATGTTAACAAATATCTTATTAAATGTTATATATCTTTTTACAAATTGCAATTTTCACATTTATCTATAGATTGCTTATAACCCTTATTAAAAACAGTTCATTAACTCAATTGATAAAAAAAGCCAATAATACGAAGTTAACAAATTTGCAAATAGGCAGTTTAGTCACCCCTTCACACACATATAAATTAAACTGTCACAAGTAAAGAGGTAAATACATAGAGGTGATGCAGTACAGTGGTTAGATTTTTACATAGATTTCTTGTGTGTGAGCACTTCTGTGTGAGCTAACTCTTCTGTGTGAGAGGTCATAAGAGTAAATCTCATCAAGGTGTCATCTTCTGTGTAAAAGAGTTCTTTTGCTTGAGAAAGATCTTCTGTGTTGATGTCTCAAGATTAAACCTCAAATGCAATATAGAAAACTTACCAGTTCCATACTTGATAAACAGAGCATTAATTAATGGTAGCAAATTTCCTGATTCAACAATTCTTGATGTAAAATCTTCATTGACCTATAAAATAGATTTATTTTAGTAAAACATAAAAAATAATCAATAACAACACTTTAATTTTTTTCACTTTTAATTATCATTTAACTATTAGATAATGCCATAAAATACTAAAACCAAAAATAGTAAAACTACCTTATCACACTATGTAATTTAAAAAATGGTTTACAAATAGAAACTTACTTTTATTACAATCACTAAAGTTTCTAGGGTTATAGCTAACACACTGTCACTATAATGTGTAGCAAGTGAGATTAATCCAGACATAATACTTTCAAGTTTATCTATAATAACACCATGCCTTTCATTCTTTTGAAGAAATTCACAAAACCTATTAAATAAATAGAGCATATAAATGTAGTTATAAAAATAAATTAAAAATACTTTAAAAAATTAAAACAAAACCAAACATACCCAAATAAAGACTTAACAGCAAATACTCTAAGCACAGGACATTGGTCATCTTGTAGTGCTCGAACTGTTGCTTGAATAGTTCTTAAAAGACATAAATAAAATATTTTTTTGTTAAACAATCATCTTTGAAAAATGTTTATCTATAACAAATTAAAACAATTAAAATTTTATTCATATTTTTGAAGCCTTTTAAGTATAAATTTGTTATAAAAATTACAAATTAAATTTATATAAATTCAGACAAATTTTAAAAGCACAAAATTCCATTGCTCCAACAAATTGAATAGATACAATTTATTTAATGCACAAAGCATTGTTTGACAAATGAAAATTTTTATAATATATAAAGAAAACAAATATATATTAAAAAATATACATAATAAAAGATAACTTAAAAAATATATATAATCAAATAAATCTAACAATCAAATCTTTATAAAGAAACAAAAACAAGAAAAAAAGCAACTTACTGATGTAAACCATTGTCATCTAATATTGCAACATATCGACTAGCACACCAGAATGATTGACCAAGCAAAAAAGGTGTGCCTAAAACAAAAATTTAAGAATATACTTTATGTTAGATATTGAAAAAAATCAATTACCTTATGTGCTATTGAAACTTTTGAAATTGATTCAAGTTTTGCATTTAGAGCTTTATTTTAATTAGGCAAGAGATTACTATAAGTATGACCCGTTTAATATTGCTTATTGAACCAATAGTTAAAAAACAGGTCACTTCATACATAATAATCTATAGTTAATATTTAACTTTTTAACATCTTCGCTTCAACAAAGCTGTAAGTAACCACTATTAGAGTTGGAAGTTACTGGAAGAGAAAAGATAAAGATTGTAGAACAAGATAATGATTGACAGACAACTTAAAAGATTGCAAATTATATAAATCAGGAAAGCAAGATAAAGGAAGAGAATTCCAAAGAACTGATGTTCAAGGAAAATATGAATAAGAGCTTTTGGAGCATTTAGAAACAGTCACAGAAAAAGCATGAGACTTAATTGAATGACAAGTAACACAAGAATGAATTTTAGTAGATGGCAATTTTGCAACAGATTTGATAAAAATTCAATCTTTCTTGGTATCCAAGAAAGATTGAAAGTAAGAGTTAATTCTAGAAGATGGAGGGTAGATGACTCATCAAATACATTACTGTTCATAAATATAGAAAGATCTAAATTATTTGGATAATGATTGGCCGAAAAAAAATGAGTTTTATCTGAATTAAAGTTCACCAGGCACTGTGAACCCCAAGCTCAAATGTCCACTGCAAGCAATCAGAGAGTGTTAGCTTCTTATCATGACAAAAATAAAAGGTAGTATCATCAGCAAACAATGCCACCTTAAATGTGAGAACATCTGGAAGATCGTTAATGTGAATTATAAAGAGTATAGGGCCAAGGATTGAACCTTGAGGAACCCCTGAAGTTACAGGATATGAAGAAGAGTGCTGTCCTTTGAGGACAACTTTTATACTATGATTGGAAAGGAAGGATTCAATAACCTTAAAGATGTTTCCAGATACAACGTAAGAAGAAAGCTTATGGAGAAGACCAGCAAGCCAAACTTTATCAAAAGCTTCAGAAATGTCAAGAGCAATAGCCTTAACCTCTCCACATTTATTTAATGTACGATAAAACCTATCAGTTATTACTGTTAGCAAATATATTAATACAATATAACTTCAAATACAGCATCATAATTAAAATAAGTTTAAATCTATATAGCTATCAACTATAGCGTATATAGATCAGCAATTGCTACTAAACTATTGCACATTTTATATTTCTTGTTTATTAAAAGTATTTTTAAAACTGTAATTAGTAATAATTTTATTAGCACTCATCAGAGTTACTATTTAAACTAAATGTTTAATACGACAAAACACTATTATAAAAATTACTGTTACATAAAACTAGATTTTTTCTAAATATTATTATTAAAAATATATAATAAAACTTTTTACTAAAATAATAATAAAATAAGAACTCAAGTCATTTATAAAAAAAAGGATTTTTAACCACCAGTAAAATTTAAGTTAAAAAAAAGTTTAAAAGCTAAATAGCTTTTAAACTTTTTGCTTTAAAGCCCCTCTACCTATAGAACTATTTTAAACGGATTTTCAAAACTTAAATGATTTTATGAAATTTCAGTAAATGCATTATCTAAATAACATGCTGATAATTTGTCAAACTTTGTTTTTTAAAACTTATTTTTTTTTTTTACTGGTCAACCATGACTGGCAAAAATTCATTTTGGAAGTTCAAAATAACAATATTAGTCAATTTGGGCGGTCGTTGACCAACCATTATTTTTCATGCTGTATACATACATACATATGTGTGTGTGTGTGTCTACACACACACACACACATCAAAAATAATTATTAAAAATTATAATCATATCAAAAGTATGTTTTTTTCAATAAAAATTCTTTTACACCATTAAACAGAACTTACCTTGTGAACTCAATGATGACGACAACATTTCAAAAAGAAAATTCCTAAAATCAGGGGGTATTTCACCAGATTCTAGTTTTTCTTCTACACTTGGTTGAACATAGCCAAGAGAAATTAAACAAACTTCATTGTACTTCCACCTTAAAATATTATTTATCAAATAAACTATTGACCTTAAGATAATTGTGGGAGAAAAAAAAAACAAACTCCTGGAAGAAAGAATGAATTTAAGAATCAAATAATAAATAACTAAATAGACAAAATTTCTAGTTTTCAACCTTTTTAAAAAGAAAAGACTCAGAAATGAAAGTTTTTTTTACTGATTGATTTTAAGAATACTTCAAATCTGGCATTCATATCTTAGAAGAGAACAAAAATATAGCCTGATATTTATCAAGCCATATTTTTAATATATATAATATATATAAGAATATATTGAATTTATATAAGAAACTTAAACAAGCATTTATCTCAAACTTTAGCCAACAAACTGATAGATTATTTTGTCTGTAATAAGTAATAAGGTTAAAAAATTTTTTTTTTTGATGTTTTTTTTTTTTTTTTTTTATTCAACCATATCAATAAAATTTACAAAATTCATCAGAAATTAATATAAATTGGTTAGGTGTCACTCATATAGTTACAAACTAGTCAATGGAGTGACACCTAGAATCCTATTATCAATGTAATAACCCTCACAAACTGAAGTTTATGACATGTTTTCAAAAGAGTTAAAAAATTTACTTTTGTAACACAAAACTATTAACTTTTTTTAAAAACTTTTACCTTTAGGTGCTTAAGTTTAATAATTTTTACTTGTTATTAACAAAAAAAAACAGTATCTCAAAACTGCAAAAAAAAAAAAAAAAAAAAAAAAAAGCTACAAACTCACTTAAAAAAATTAATTGAGGTCAAATCAGGTTTATCCTGCTACTGGTAACATGTAACCCAGTACAATCTGCGCCTTTTTAGGCAAATGCGCCTTTTTAGGCAAATGCTAGGAGATGCAAACTCTGACATAAAACACCCCCTATTTAAGTAAAGGCTAGAGATGGTGTCTCGATAAAAATACTCATCTTGGGCAGATGTTACATGCATCCGGCTGCTGTCATGTAGAAGGCCTCCTAGGCAAAGACTTAAGGGGTAAACAGATTCTATCTGTTGACCAGCCTCGCACCACTTCTTCATCTATTAGGCTGGCGCAGATGTATTTTTAATACATTGTTTCCAGTTTAGGATGTAGAACGCTGGATCTTCTTGACTCGATACATGGGTTTTGCTTGTGTCTCTGTTTTTATGACTAGGCAACTCATTCTATTACCTCCAAATGAGGGTACAGCTCTAAAACTCAGTTTTATGGTTCTGAGGCTGGCTGGTAGTCAGGTTTCCCGAACTCTGTGGTAGCTCTCAGAGAGGCTGATTCCATCAACAGCTGAAAAATATCAAAGTACTAACAGTGCCATGTTGCGCATGGATGGTGTCCCTGTTAATGCTTTTGGTGTGCATTGCCAAGGCCACATTGGAGCCCTTTGTTACGGCTTAGGGTTTATTAATGGAAATGAGGCAACTGCTTGGGCTATAGAACAGTGTACTGAGTACTATCTATGTTTCGAGTCAAGTTCTTTAACAAATATAAAAATGAATAAAGTAACAAAAACTATAAAACACAAAAAACCACAGTCATCACCAAGTTTGCTAAACCTATCATTCACTAATATTCGTGGTGCTTGGTCATGGCATTTACATTCGTAAGAATTCACCCATTTGTCGGGAAACTAGGTTTGAATCCACAAACTACTCTTTTATTTAGCACTCTATCACCTTTCTCTTTGTTCTATATCGCTCTCCCTCATCTTAAGACTGCACTCTTCTTGATGTTATTTCTGATCATATTGAGCAAGCCCTCTCTCTTTATCCATCAGCCAATATTTTTGTTGTCGGTGACTTCAATGTTCATCATACTAAATGGCTTGGCTCTAGTGTCAGTGACTCTGCAGGCATTAAGGCCAACAACTTTTGCCTCTCTCAATCCCTAACTCAAATAGTCAACTTTCCAACTCGCTTTCCAGATAACCCAAATCATTTACCTTCTCTACTCGACTTATGTCTTGTTTCTGATCCTAGTCAGTGCTCAGTTTCTCCACACTCACCCTTAGGTGCATCCAATCATGGTTTGGTCTCTCTAAAACTATACTCTAAAACTTCTTTTTTATCATCAGAATCCCCCTATCATCGTACATCTTACAACTACCTTAAAGCTGACTGGGACTATTTCTGTGATTTTCTTCGTGATGGCCCTTGGGTAAAAATCTTTCGACTTCCTGTTGACAAATGTGCTTCTTACATAACTTCGTGGATTCAGGCTGGCATGGAATCCATTATTCCCTCTCGACAATTCCAGGTCAAGCCTCACTCTTCTCCATGGTTTTCCTCACATTGTGCTGCTGCAATTGCTAATCAAAACCATTACTTCCATATCTATCAGCAAAACAATTCTCCAGAAAACAGACTGTTTATTACAGCTAAAAACCATTGTAAAAAGGTTTTGTCTAACGCCAAAGCCCGCTATTCTCAGATCATGAAATCTTGTATTTCATTAGGCTCTTGTGACTTCTGGAGAATCTTTAATAGTATCAATAATAAGGGCAAGTTTGTAATTCCACCTCGTTTGTATGGTTCAGACTTTGTCACCTCATTTAAAGACAAAGCTAAATTGTTTGCTAAGAACTTTTCATCAATATCATCTCTTGATGCCACTAGTTGCGTTCTACCTGATATAGCCGTCAAACAGGTTGATCCATTGCTTGACATCCATATCACTCCAGCTTCTGTATCTAAAGTGATTTCCTGCTTAGACTCTTCTACAGCTTACGGCCCGGACAACGTACCTGTTATAATCCTGCAGAAGTGTTCTCCGGAGCTGTCGTCTATCCTTTCAAAACTATTTAACAAGTGCTTATCAGAGTCTTGTTTTCAAGCCTGCTGGAAAGCAACATCTATTATCCCTATTTTTAAACATTCTGGAGAGCGATCCGATTCATCTAACTACCGTCCCATTAGTCTTTTTCTTACCATAAGCAAGGTTTTTGAATCTTTAATTAACAAACACTTAATCTCATATCTTGAATCTCATAACCTACATTTTGATCATCAATATGGATTTCGATCTTCTTGTTCTACGGCTGATTTGCTAACAGTAATAACCGATAGGTTTTATCGTGCATTAGATAAAGGTGAAAAAGTTAAGGCCATTGCTCTTGACATTTCTAAAGCGTTTGATAGAGTTTGGCATGCTGGTCTTCTCCATAAGCTTTCTTCTTATGGTGTTTCTGGAAATATCTTTAAGATTATTGAATCTTTCCTTTCCAATCGTAGTATAAAAGTTGTCCTTGATGGACAGCACTCTTCTTCTTATTCTGTAACCTCAGGGGTTCCTCAAGGTTCAATCCTTGGCCCTATACTCTTTTTAATCTACATTAACGATCTTCCAGATATTCTCACATCTAAGGCGGCATTGTTCGCTGTTATACTACCATTTATTCTTGTCACGATAAGAAGCCAACTCCCTCTGATTGCTTACAGGGGGCATCTGAGCTTGAAAAGGATCTCACTTGCCACTGTGAGCCCCACTGCTACAGCATGGGGCTCACAGTGGCTGGTGAACTTTCATTCAGATAAAACTTTTTTCAGCCAATCGTTACCGCAATAATTTAGACCTTCCTATATTTATGAACGGTAATGTACTCGATGAGTCATCTACCCTTCATCTTCTAGGATTAACTCTCACTTCTGATCTTTCTTGGAAACCTTATATCAAATCCGTTGCAAAATTAGCATCTGCTAAAGTTGCATCTCTTTATCGAGCTCGACACTTTCTTAAACTGGATTTTTTTTTCTATTTCTATAAATCTCAAATCCGACCTTGTATGGAATACTGTTGCCATATCAGCCAACCTTAAACCTATGTCACATCGTCGTAATGTTGCTTCTCTTTCTCTTTTCTACAAATACTATATATAATGGGCACTATTCTAAAGAGCTAGCATCTCTTGTGCCATCTACTAAAATTCATTCTCATGTTACTCGTCATTTAATTAAGTCTCATCCTTTTTCTGTTACTGTTCCTAAGTGCTCCAAAAACTCTTATTTGTCTAGTTTTTTTTGTCGAACATCAGTTTTTTGGAATTCGCTTCCATCATCTTGCTTTCCTGATTCATATAATTTGCAATCTTTTAAGTCGTCTGTCAATCGTTATCTTGCTCTACAATCTTTATCTTTTCTCTTCCAGTAACTTCCAACACTAATTAGTGATTGCTTGCAGCCTTGTTGGAAGCGAAGATAATAAAAAAAAAAAAAAAAATTATAACCCACTAATTTATTAGCCCCCACCAATTTATTAGCTCCCTCCCCCCCTTTCCCCTCCTTGCTCATGTTTATTAAATCTAGCCTCAAATTTTTTTTTGCCCTCACTTTCCTGAAATTCAAAAATGTAATGATCAAGGTACTTAAATATTCTTATATTTCCTGTATTTACAGTCTTTTTACATTATTACAGTTTCACATGTATGAATGCTATCATGAAAATTTAGTGACAGAATATTTGGTAAGTTTCAATAACAACTTCAGTTTCTTGTAATAGTAAGAAATTGTGTATAGGTTGCATACGAGACCCATGATAATTTCATGATTTTTTGCATTTATATTTGTTCACTTTATTCATCCTGTTAGCTTTAAGCTTATATGGATCAAATATATTAACACATACTTTAAAAACTATTTCATACATCCATAGAAAAATAAACCTTATCTTTATTATCTTCTGTGTCGATATTGTTTCTTTTCATTATGTTAGCATCTATGCATTAGTTTTACAACTTGCACATATTAAAATATAGGCTAAAACATCTTTCATGTATTCAATCTATAAATATGTGTGCATCAGTTTTTTAATGGTGAATTCCAATCAAATTCTTGAACTACAATCAAATTCTTTTTGGTCCAGCTAAAGTAACACTAATATAACTTTGTGCACTAACTTTAATTTTGACAAAATATTAATATCATATTATGAGTATTACACACGTAGGTTTTGGTTGTGCACTAGGGTGGGTCATACTTTTAAAATTTTTGGATATGGAAGCGCACCTAATATTTTTCTCATGTATATTAGAAAATTAGAAGAGACAAAAATAACTTTTTCTTAAAAAGTCTATCTAGTGGGCGCAGGTCATTTGAAAAGTCATCAAAATGGTCCTTTTCTCCCTTTTTTCAAAAAGCTTATTAAAATGCAATCATCAAAAAACAATTAGACATAATATAGACATAAAAATAAAACATAACTTATGGTGCTACTTTACTAAAGGCCATACAAAAGTTGTCTACCATTATGGATTTTACAAGAAAAAATATTTATAAATGTTAGAAATGGTAAAGCGCGTAATATTTGGAAGAATCTTTAAATGTTTTGTCTTGTGTGGGCCCAGGGCGTTTAAAAAATGTCTATTTTACTAAAAATTAGTATAAGAGTCTCATTATGTTCAATGTACATAATGCAACTAATATATAAAATGAGGTGAATTATAAAACATGGTCATTAAATTTTATGGGCTTGGGGCTTATTCCCTCTCTCCATTATTATTAAAAATCATAAAAATTGATTAATAACAGGAAATGGTGTATGACTTTTTATATGTTATAGAATTGGTCTTAGCTAATTTGTTGGTTTATGACTAAGATAATAGTTCCCTGAATGATTTGCTTTTTAAATGTGTTCTATTTATTTATGATTACTTTGGCATCCTAAATATTGTAATAAAAAAATTAAAGAAATGATGTAATTAACAAATTTATAACATATATACAAAGATAGTCTTTACTACAGAAAGCTACCAATATTTTTAAACAAACAAAATATTAATTTTATTGTGATAATATATTTGAGTACAAGATGTATGTATATACAAATATTAATTAATATGAAAAGTATTTGGATGTCAACAAATTCTACAATTCTGTTGGTCTCAGAAAAATATGCAGTCATTAAACTTGTCCTTGAATGGAACATTGCAAAAGACATTGGAAAATTGAGAACTACGTCAAAAAAGAAATATGTATACTAGGAATGTGACTTTTTGGTAAATTTTTAATATCTCTAGTTTCCAATATAAAAAACAGATGAACTTTGGTTTGAAAATAACTGGAAAGTCATTGGTTTAACCTAATTTTTGAAAAAGGTCACAGTAAAAAATTTTTTAATTGAATGACAAGTAACACAAGAATAAATTTTAGTAGATAGCACAAGAGACGCTAGTTCTTAAGAGTAGCGCCCTTAATGGTATTAAGAGAAAAAAGAAAGAGAAGCAAAATTATAACAATGTTACAATTGTTACAGGTTGGCTACAAACAGGTTGGCTACAAACAGGTTGGCTACAAGAGGTTGGCTACAAACAGGTTGGCTACTACAGGTCCAACTACTTTCAAAATACATTTTTGCACCTAGTCTAAAAGAAAAAGGGAATCATTTGCAGATCCATTTCAGATATGGTAACAGTATTCTGTACAAGGGTGGATTTGAGATTTATAGAGATAAAGAGTAGAATCTAATGCAACCTTAGCAGATGCTAAGTATAAATTAGATGCTTAGCAGATGCTTATTTTGCTATGAATTTAATTATGATTTCCAAGAAAGATCAGAAGTAAGTGTTAATTCTTGAAGACGAGGAGTAGATGACTCATCGAGTACATTACTGCTCATAAATGTAGAAAGATCTAGATTATTGCAATAAGAATTAGCTGAAAAAAACTGAGTTTTATCTGAGTTGAAGTTTACCAGCCACTGAGAGCCCCGTGCTGTAACAGAAGTGAGACCCATTTCAAGCTCAAATGCTCCTTCCAAGGATTCAGAGAGTGTTCGCTTCTTATCTAGACAAAAATTAATGGTAGTATCATCAGCAAACAATTCAATATTAGATTTGAGAATTTTTAGGAGATCATTAATGTAAATTGAAAAACCACGGAGAAGAGCAAGACTTGACTTGAAATCGTCAAGAGGGAATAAAAAATTCCAAGCGAGCAAAAAGATTTCTACCCAAGGGCCATCACAAAAAAAATCACAGAGAGAGTACCAGTCAGCTTTAAGGTAGCTGTAAGAAGTAAAATGGTAGGAGGATTCTTATGATGAAGAAAAAAGAGATAATATTATTAGAGAGATCAAATCGTGATCAGAAGCACCTAGGGCGAATATGAAGAAACTGAGCACTGACTAGGATCAGAAACAAGATATTAGTCGAGTCGAGAAGGTAAATGATTGAGATTGTCTGAAAAACAAGTTAAAAAGTTAACTATTTGTGTTAGAGATTGAGAAAGGCAAAAGTTGTGAGCCTTGACGCCTACAGAGTCACTGACTCTAGAACCAAGCCATTCAGTATATGCTGAAGGATAAAGAGAAAGGGCTAAGTGAATTTGATCAGAAATAACATCAAAAAAAGTGTAGTCTAGAGGTGAAGGAGAGCAATATATAACAAAGAGATAAGTGATATAGTGAAGTGGTGCTAAGCAAAGCACATAAAAAAATAGTTTGTGGATTCAAACTTAGTTTCCTGACAAATGGGTAAATTTTTACGAGTGTAAATGCCCAGGCCAAGCATGTAACTATTGGAGTCTTTAAAAATTAAAGGAAGATAACCATTAACAATAAGATCACAAGATGAGACAGCTGAACTCAAATTTGTCTCACAAAGAGCAAGTAGATCCTTGAATGTGGTTAAATGGTTGAACCTTGCAAAAGATAAGATTCAACAGAAAAAGTTACTTTGAAGACCCTGAATAATAGTAAATTATGGATTTAGAAAACTTGGTGATGATTATGTTTTTTTTTTTATACTTTAGTCATTTCTTAAATTGGTTAAAGAGCTTGACTTGATTCCCAAGTAGTACTCAGTACACTATTTAATAGACCAAAAGTTAGAACCTAATAGATGTAGAAGGAATGCAAAACTGGTCAACAGATAGAATTTGTTTACCCATTAAGTCTTAGTCAAGGAGGCCTTCTAAAAGACAGTAGAAGGATGCATTTATTGTCTCCCCAAGATGAGTATTTTTATCTCTACATGGCACTGTAAAGATGATCTTAGTACCTATTATTTTTTTTAATAAAACATTAAAATACCAGCCCATGTTGTTTTGAGCTCGCAGTTCGTCAGACTTGCGCTTCAATCTTGCAACAGCATTACATAACTTTTTTATAGCACTTTTAAAATTTTCTGATAGACTCTAAAAGTAAAATAAAAATACACTTAACAAAAATAAAATCAGCAAAAATAAACAAAAAATAAGGTATTTACAAAAATGATATGAAAAAATATAAAAAGATGAACAAAAATAAAAATGTTCATAAAAAAATATCATACCAGTAACAGATATTGGGCTGAAATGCGAACTGAATATGAAAATGTCTCTTCGTCTTCATCTTCAACAAATTGATTTGGATCATTTGACCATAAATTTATCTAAAACATAACATAAACATCATAAACTAATTCAATTTCCCAGAAACTAAACATAAAAAAAAAATCAATTAAATCAATTATGAATCCTCTAAAAATAAAATATGAAAAAAAAAGATGCTCAATATAAAGAACAAATTTGAATTTGTATTATTATTGTAAAATAAAGAAACCTTAATGCTATAAAATGTTTGTAATCAAAATATTCCAAAATTTTTAAACTTAAAACGATGGTATTTGTAAAAGCTATTTAGAGTTGGTTTCAAACATAGAACAATTTTGCATTTTTAATGAATAATAAATAACTTATAAATTAATTAACTAAATAATTTGAATATAATTCAAAAATTTGATAGTAGGGTGAAAGTTGTTCATGAATATCTTAACCAGTAGGAGTTCTTCTCTGGAGCCTGTACAAATAAAAAAAATGACACCAATTAAACTTTTGTAAATAAGGATTGTAATTCTGGTTATCGGTTTACCGGTAAATACCTAAATTTGAATCAAGTTTTTTACCGGTAAATTTTTGTACTTTACCGGTAAATCAAGCTTTTTTCTATGTAAGGATTGTTTCAATTTCTAATTGCTGAATATTTTTATCTAATAAAGAAGTTACTATAAATATTAAATAAGTTATTTATTTTCTTTTCAATAGATTAAAAATTATAAATATAAAAGTGTAAAGCATTCTTTTGTTTGAACTTAACGCTTAAGTAAACTAATGACTGTAATTTATGTTTAAAAAAAAATATAGAAGAATGCGCAAAAAAAAACGGCAGTTGCAATAGCATCAAAAACTACTTCTTTTATCAAAAAAGAGACGATTCTCTTGAAGCTATACTTTCAAGAATGATTTCACAAGATGGCATTCCTTTCAATAAATTTTGTACATCTGAAGATTTGAAGATGTTACTAAAAACAAAAGGGTACATAGAGTTACAAAATCACCTAAAACTATTCACAAAAAAGTAATAGGTTATGCCGATAAAATAAGGAAGTTGCAAAGGAAATTTCACAGAATAAGCTCAATAAAAAAGCTTATAGCCTTACCACAGATGAATGGACATCAAATAAAAAACTGCCAGTATATAAATATTATTCTTTATGGAAATGATGGTAATTCTTGGAATCTTGGGTTGACTCATGGATCCACACCTGCTGAGGTATGCGCAAAACTAGTTGAAAAGAAGCTTAAAGAGTTTAACACAGCTTCGTCAAATACCGTGTGCAAATTAGATGGAGCTGCCATTAATAAGAGAACAGTAATGTTACTTAATTAAAACCATCAGCTATGTATCGTACATGGCAAACAAATGGCAATCATAAAAGTACTTGATAATATTAGTTCAACAGATGTACAAGATGTTAATGAATATGATGGTAATGTATTATTTAATGTTGATTCTGATTATTCGGAAATTGAACTTGAAAATTTTGAAGTAGACCACAAAGATATCGACACTACCCAACTTGTTCTACAAAATGCTGAACTAAATTGTTTAATTACAAAAATTCGAAAAAGTTGTAAAACTTTTCAGAAAATCATTAACCAAAAATGGAAAAACTGCTGCAAAAATACATTAAAGAAACTGTCGTAAAAGAACTTTCTTTAATTTTAGACTGTAAAACTAGAATGAGTAGTTTATTAAGCATGCTGGAAAGATTTTTAAAACTTAAAGATGCTGTTCGAAAAAGTCTGATAGATTTAAAAATTCACATTGATTTTAATGAAATTGAAGTAAAATACTTTCAAATATAATATCAAGCTTGCAACCTATTAGGTTGGCCGTTGAAACACTGCACTAAAAAAGTTAATTTACATGTAGTCGATCTTACATTAAAATTTATGTCAGACAAGCTAAGTAACCAAAACACTTTTAAGTATTGCACTAAAAAATGAATTAATAAGTTGTATTAAAGAAAGAAGAACGATGTTTTCAATGTGTTACACTATATAACAGACGCTAATGATATTATTTCTGTTAAAGACAATTATGGCATTTTTATTATCAGCAGTAAAGCCATAATTATTAAAACTATTGTTGACATTGTAGAAAATATTTTGTTCAATAATGGTGAGAATATTTAAAGACACCTAAATGAATCAGATTTAAATTACGATTTAAAATATGACCTCATTACTGTTAAACCTAACACTGATTTTTCTATGAAGGAAAAACTTCATCTTTTTCTTTAAAAACAAACGGATAAGAATAAAGGAATAACTGTTTTAGAAGAGAGTAACACAAAAGGTCTAAAAGAAGTTATAAAAAAAGAGTTCGAGTACTTTTGACAAGAAAATAAGCGAGGGAAGTAAATTTAAATAGTTTTTGACTATTTGATGACCATTCGTCCAACAAGTGTTAAACCTGAAAGAATATTTTCAGGAACTGGACAAATTTGTATTAAAATTAGATCTCGATTATGAGACAAGATATTGGATAGTTTAGGCTTTCTTAGAAGCTACTTTTTGAAAAAATATATTTTATAAAAGTTGTATTGATTTATTGATATATAAAGTTTATTAGTAATTTACCAATTTACAGGTATTACAATTTTTATTTTAATGGTGATTACCGGTAAATCAAAAAGTCAGTAAATTTACAACCCCTATTTGTAAAGTGTAATGGTATATTGGAACTGTTTGATAATAATAGTATTAAGACGATCCATAAAAAAGTTAGCATAAGGTGGGGCTACCATCCTAGTACCGTAATAATAAACACTACCATGTTAGTACCATAGATTTGTTGATAAAGTGGTCATTGACTTTAAAAATAGTGTTGGTAAGTATGGTATCAAGTATAATGGATATGGTAGTTTGTCATTAGGTGACTGTGAAATTTTACGGCATTATGTGAATTTTACAGCATTAAAGTGCGATGACATCTGCAGTGGTGAACATGAACTTGTGTGATGTGAACTGTTATTATTCAAGAATAGAAGGGAATTGGTTGGTGTCTTTAAAATATTCTGGAAGTGATTTGACAAGTGATTGTATAAGTTTGGTAATAAAATGCAACAAAAAGTAACAAGCTGAAACAAGTAGACGCAATGGGATATGAAATAAATAGGCACATTGGTCTATATAGGTTTAATTAGGTATATATTGGTCCAGTCAAACTGTAATCAAACCCCACAGCCAATGTGTTTCAGGTTCCATGGGTAAATGGTTGGAAAGGTTTGCTATGATTTTATTGTTAAGATCCTCTTTGATACATTTTTTATCGACCCATTATCTGGTAAAATATCATTCATTCTGAAAAGGTAGAATATATGTTTATTGCTCAATGGTAAATCAGTATTCCTTGAAAATAATTTAAAATTAATATATTTTAAATGGTAATAGAAAATATGGGATAGTGCTAAAAAAAAAGAATAGTGGATAGTACTAGTATATGGTATACAAACTAACAGTAAAAAATAAGGGTAATAAACAAAAAACAAGGTTAACAACACACAGATCTAAACAAAATTGAATGAAGAATATGCCCTCAGAACAGATGGTCATAGCAACCTGGACCATAAGACAATAGTCTCTTTAAGAATTTAATGGCTCAAAAATTTAAAACTTGATGAATGGCAACTGCAGTAATAGAAGTAGCCTGGAGTTCTGGTAGATAAACAAGACATCTGCCTTGTGTGCAATGTAAACTGATAGTTTAATATGTGTAAGTCTTGTCTTTAATATTTGTATGTAATTAGTTACATAATGGGTTATGTATGATTATAGACACAAAGGAAAAATTAAGATCTGGGTAGAACACAAAAAGAAAGTCTACAAATCAGATATAGATGGTTGTATGGATACAATTCATAAAATTTAACAAGAAGCCATAATAAAATTATTCACTTTTAACATTGACTGCAACAACCAAATGATCTGTATAGGGAACACTTTTAAAATGCTCTGAAAATATTGTTAAAAAATCATAAATTTTTTTTTTTAATAACTTGAGTTATTGCACCTAGTAATATAAAAAAAAATCATTTGAATCATTATAATTTCAAATAAGACTGTCACAATAAACAGTTTTATAGATAAAAGATACAAAAATATAAGGATACAAAGCAGCAAAATGTAAGCAAATATTTTTGATAATATTTTTTATTTTAATATGTAAAATATATTGAATTTTCAGGAAATATGGACTGGTTTTTCTTTTACTCAAACTTTCTTGTTGAAAGATGGAATACCTTTATTTTAGGAACTTTAGTTGTCTTGATAATGTTTAACTCATATCGACGAATGAATTGAATTTTTGAAGAATAAAACAAGGTACAGCACAGAGAATGAAAATGAAATTAGTGACCAGTGATCTTGTTCCTAAGTTTTGTAAGATTCTGGTTCCAAAAATGTTATAACTTTTAAAAAATCTTGAAAATAGATACCTAAACAACTTATTCTGAAAATGAATTGAGTGAATGAATGAAATAAATTAGGACAAGACCTGTTACTAATTTTTTATTTAAACCATTTTGAAATTCAATGCTAGTCATGATTCAAAGATTTATTTAACCTTCAAAATGGTAGATTTTTGGTTTTAGAAAAAATTTCATCTGATGATGAAGAAAAGTAGATAAAATTTTAGCAAAAAATCTGGAACCGAGTATCTTGTTTGATTTGTAGTAATGGAAGCAATATCAAAAATAAAAAGAAATGAATAGAAAGTCTGTATTATAATTATTTTTTTTCTTTGAAAATTTTTTTTAAAATAAAGGAAAATGCAAGAAATATAAAATCAGCTATTGTAGCAAAGCAAAATACACTTTATTTATGAGATATAAAAATTTAAAACCTAAAAATGTGATACAATATTAACACAATAAAGAGTCCTTTAAATAATGACCAAAAAGTTTAATATATAAGTAAAACGATATTTTAAGTATAAAAAAAACTTACTAGCAAAAATATTAAAACATTAAAAAATGAAATTAATAATTAAAAAAAAGTTAAATTTTTTGCGTTAAAAAAAAATTAACAAAAAAAATTTAAACAAATGGTAACTTAATTTACAAAAAGGGTTACTTAAGTTACAAAGGGTATACAAATTTGTTTGTCAGTAATTGTTCATATGAAAACTTAAGTAATAATCATTGTTTATATGCAAACACAGAATAAAAAACATGATTGCTAGTATTTTACATATAAACTATTTTATAGAATAAAATAAAAATTTGTTTGTCAGAAATTTACATGTAAGCTGTTGTATAAAATAAATATAAATACTTGTTCATCAGTAATTTGCTAATAAACCATTGTATAGAAAAATATTTTGAAAAATAATTGTTTATCAGTAATTACATATAAACCATTGAATAGATAAAATTTAAAAAATATATACTTGTTCATCAGTAATTTGCATATAAACCATTGTGTAGAATAAAATATCCTCTAGGTATTGTTCAACAGTTTCTTTAAACTTTGGTTTTTCAACTAATGCTGAGATGAATTCAAATATACTAAACACTAAATTCTCAAAGCTGAGTATTTCGCCTGAAATAAAAAAAAAAAAAAATAAATAAGATCAAAATTTTTTTATGATCGTCACTGATAACACCCTATGATTGCCTATCACTGATAACACCCACACCAATTACCCATTACCAATATCCCCCCCCCATCATTAATATCTCCTATAGTCAAATCACTTGTCTCTAGTCACCTATAATTAATATCAACTGTATATAATACCAATTATCTTATTTTGTATAAATATTTTAATTTAAAAACAGTAATAATTTTAGAAAGAAAAAAACAAGAAATTCATACAATTAAAAAATAATGTATTTATTGAAAAATACAGTTATAATTATAATAATTTAGGTTGTTAAAAAAAATAACTTTTATAAAAAATCTCAAACTAGATTTGATTTTATTTTACTTAAATTTTTAGATTTTAAATTTTTCATGATTTTATTTTACTTAAATTTTAGATTTTATTTTACATTAACTAGCTTTTCAAAAATTATTTATTTTTTCAAAAAACATATTTTTAAAAAGCCTGAGTAAACTTGTGACAGGATGAAATAAAATTAAGTTACACAAAATAATAAAAAAAAATTGCGTTAAACCTACAAGCAAAGTTTTATCACTTAAACAAACATCAAAGATTTACCATCTTCATCAACCGGATCTTCTGATAAATCAACACAATTAACTGTAGTCTTTATGTATATATCAACACTCTGAGTAAATGTCTGCCATACAGGTGGTAAAATACTACTAATAAAGTGAGATATTGTTCTTGGGAAGTTTTTGACAACTACTTCTAAAGCCTAAAAAAAAGAAACTTTTGATGTTTGATTATAAAAAAAAAATTTTAAATTTTTAAATTTAAAATTTAAAAGTTAAATTTTAAAGTCAGGTCTTGGGGCACCTAAAACAAAAATTATAAAAAAAAAAAAAAAAAAAAAAACTTGTTAATTTGCAATTGCTCAAAACGAAGCTACACAAGCTGCTAAAAAAAAGAAAACCAGAGTTCAATCCCCACCAGATCCCTGGTAGTATTGCGCTCAACTTGTTTCTCCACACAGTGGCCTTGTTTGTCAAGGTTCATGTTTTGGAATTATAGAGTTAGTATTAATAAATTAGAGAAGTAGCCTCTTTGACTGCAGTGGCTTTCAGTAGCCTTGAGGAAGTGAATCAAAATAAAAAGATGAAAAAGCAGCTAAAAAAAAGTGAAAAAAAAAAAAAATTAAAGAAAAAATTATTAGAGAAAAAAAATTCACACACAGCAATTCTAAAAGAATAAAAATTAAGAAAAATAAAAGTAAAAAAACTTTTAAAACTCTTTATAAAAATATAAAGAAACAACAACTAAGTCTACTAGTCAAAATATTGAGTGTCTTCCTGCTGTGAGCTCTAATCCTTATCATACTAATTGTCTTTGTTATTCCTTTAGAAGCCTTTGGATAATCAGGGGCTATTCTAGGAAAAAGTTTAAGCAACAGTGCCCTCCGTCCTAGAGAAATTTAGTGGGAAATTGACATTTTCTTGCAAAAAAACAAACAAACAATACTCACTGTAAAAAACGCATAAAAAAAAAGGTTCTCTAATTTCAATTTGAGTCAAAAATGGTCTAGAATAGCGCCTGGTAATATAAACCCACATACAATATCAAATACCCAATATACATACTTTTTTTTTTATCACTACACCCCTGTGTAAGAGACAAAAAAAACTGCATTGTTTAACTGTAAAAAAGTATTACAAGCTATCAATTGGATAGACAGGTGAGCATTTGCTAAGGCTGCAACTTGCCTGATACTAATAATTTGGATTACCACCAAATAACAGTGGTAATGGTGAAGGTGAATTTTTTTTTTTTTTATTATGACAAAAAAAAAATAGATAATATGAGACAGGAACTAACAATGTAATGTTATATCCTTAAATTAAAATATAAAAGAAACCTAAAATTTTTAAAATCTTGTTATTAAACTCTAAGCTAGAGGTTTGTGCATAGAGGTTTGTATAAATTGTTTACTATTTTAGTTTGTATGCTATTTTGGGGATTTGAACTGATTTACGTTTGGAATTTGGAACAGGTGTCCCTTATTCCAAACAAAAACTTCACTTTTTAAAATTATGCCAACATTTTCATTTTCTATTTTATTTTTTTTATTTACTTGGTCCCTGAAATGGCTGGAATCAGTTTAAGTTATTTGACTCTAAGTGTAATTTTGTTCAGAATTAAGGAAATCTACGGTAATTTCTAAATATCTCTTTTGACAATTTCTCCAGGATTCTTAATATCTGTTTTTTTTAGCTTATTTAAAACTGATTTCTATTGTATATTTTCATAAACTCATAAAACATCATTTTCATGTCAAAAATCATTTTCATCAACTCATAAAACATCAGTCCCAATGTCATAACTTTGTCATGATTTTCTCTCTTCCACAAATACAAATAATTAGAAATTGAAATTTTTCTAAAACAAAACCTAAAACATGTAATGTACTATTTGTTAGTTTCAAAACATAAATATTATTTTTATCAACTTTATCAACTAAAAAACAAGACAAATCAAAACTTGAAAAAAAAAACTTTTTTACACACTAGAAACTCAAAAAGAAAAAAAAAATTATTTTAAAATATTAAAATAAACTTAAATATTTTAAAATGCAAATAATTAGAACTTATCAATCATAGTAATATAATCATTCACTTCAACATCATAAATTTGCCTTATTATTGTTGGGACATTCATTACTATTAAATTCAAGTGGTACTTAATATAATTTTTTAATGATCTTGATGATGAGTTTTGAAATGGATAATGAAAGTGCATGAACTTGATTTGGATATTATTTGAAGTAAAATATATATATATATATATATATATATATATATATATATATATATATATATATATATATATATATATATATATATATATATATATATATATATATATATATATATACACACAAATCAAAACATTATTAAATGCAACCTAATCATTTGGAACAACTACAACATCAACATCACCATAACCACAACATCAGATACTGCTGCTTATGAATATAAATCTGTCTGCAAATAAAAGCCACTTACTATTCCATTATTATTCTAATTTCAAAATTTGAACTGAGTATATAATAGTGGTAACTTTTGGTCTCTGGGACCATTTTTCCCATAAAAATTTATAACTTTAGCTGTTGTTAATATTTTCTCTGTAATTTTATAAAATATACTGGCAATACAAAATTCATGCATAGTATTATTTGTGAATATTTGGTTTTTCAATAGTGTTTGTACCATCATAAAGAGATTTACCATGGCTGGTTGCAAAAAAAAACAACCAGGTATTATGGTCATTGTCACTTATTAAACAAAACAAGTTATGCTGAATACCTGGTTTAGAAATTTTCTTTAAATATATAACAACTAGATGTAATATAGATTGTTGCTTATTCTAACATTAGCCTTGTACTTCATTCTGTATTAAAAATTAATAGTTCTCTGCAAAATCTGCCAGCATTCATTGTAATTTAAACTATTTTAATGCTCATTAAAAATGTATGTATATATATATATATATATATATATATATATATATATATATATATATATATATATATATATATATATATATATATATATATATATATATATATATATATAAACCTCAGAATTAGGGTCGGCATTTGGCAACAAAGCCTATCCAGTTGGGCATAATTTCATAAAATTCGTTGTAATTTTATCGCAAAGCACTCTGGGATGTCCTGCCGGACCTCAGAATTTTATAATATTAAGTAGTAAATAGTTATTTTTATATGTACCTTTAAGAATTTTGATCTTAGTTATAACAATGCCATCATTTTGTGCTGCTATAAACTGTGGAAATAAGAGTGGAAAAAACTGTAAAGATATTTCATTTTTTCGTTTTCCTAAAGACGATAAAAGGCAAGCTAATTCATATATTATTTATAATAACTTTTTTTTCATAAAAAGTTTATAAAATTATTATTGTAGTATTTTAAAGCATATTATTGTAGTATTTTAAAGCATATTATTGTAGTATTTTAAAGCATATTATTGTAGTATTTTAAAACGTATTCTTTTGTTGTTTAATTTTTAGATACAGTGGAACATCAACTTTTCTAGGAAAGATTTAGAAAAATAAGATTTTGTATTTTTAAACAAAAACTTTTATTTGCGCAGTAATCATTTTTAAAGTACAATGTATTATTCTATAAATAATGGTGAAAAACGTTTGTTACAATCCTACTATTTTTAATTCCTACTATTTTTAACATCCCAAATCCTCCTACACTTCTTGGTTGCAAAAGAAAACTACAAGTTGAACGTCATTCAGTTCCAGCAAAAAATCAAGTTGTTTGTTTACTTGTTAATTCAGATAGTAATTAAGAGAACAAAATGTCAACTAATAAATTTCAACAAACTTCAAAGGTTATTATTAACATTGCGTGTCAAAAATTCTACGTAAACAAGTTCAACATTTAAAATCTAAACAAAAAACTCAAAAAAACTGTGATGGGTCTATAAAACATTTAAATTTATCCAGAAAATACTTATCACCTATACAAGTTAGTTTTTTTTAAATTCAATTAGAAATGAGTAAACCAGTCAATAAAGGAAAATGCTGGGCAGTTTGTGACAATGTTTTGGCTTTGCGAATTTTGTTTCATAGTCCTCAAACTTTTAATGTCTTGCAAGCGATATTCTGTTTACCAAGTCAAACCTGTTTATTATTATTTTTGTCCTGTGTATTTTCAGAACTTCAAGATGGGTTTTCCAGTCGATTGTTTTCTTTATTAAAGTTACATGCTGATGCAATGAATTCACTTGATTGTAATGTCAGTCTTGTTATGGATAAAATGTCATTAAAGCAGCATTTAGAGTATGATAGAAATTCTAACAAGATTTACAATATGAAAAATGGAAAACTTTTAAATCAGGCTTTAAATCATGCTTGTAATTATGGTTAGAGGCTCGGCAAATAAATAGAAACAGCCAATAGCTTATTTTTATAATAATTCAACAGTAGCAACAGCTGACTTAGTTTCTTTATTATGTGAAACCATTTCTAAGGTTCAAGAAGTTTACACAATAAATAGTTTTGTTTGTGATCAAGGATCAACTAATATAGCTGCTTTACGTTTGCTTGGGTTTTCCAAAAACTTTCCATACTTTTCTAATCCTTCCAATGATAAAAGTATTCATGTTATTTTTCAGAAACAATTTACGAAGGCATAACATTGACATTAATGGTGAAATAGTTTCTTGGCAACACATCTAATCTCTTTACCATTTAGACAAGTTAAACTTTATTTTTTGAATTAAACTATATTTTAAATTATTTTTTTTTTGTAATAAAATGTGCTGATAACTTTAAAAAAATTGTTATGTTTTTTGTTATAAGAATTTTTTATTTCATAAATTTTTTATTTCATAAAATCCACGGAAGCGGAAGAGGTCCGGCAGGACATCCCAGAATGCAATTTTGATCAATTAACAGGAGTTTCACGAAGTGGATAGGCTTTGTTTGGCAATGACGACCTAACTGCCGACCAAAAAGTGTTTGAGGTCAGCAAAAAATTTCAGATATATATATATATATATATATATATATATATATATATATATATATATATATATATATATATATATATATATATATATATAAACATAAATTTCAACCTAATTGTTCAGTAAAAATATTGTGAAACTATATATCATACAAAAAGATATATAAAACCTTATTTCATGTTATTTTAAGTTAAATTGTTCATTTTTGTATTTTAATTAAATTTAACTTAAAATTTATAAACCAGTTGGAATAAAACAATAAAATTTTGGGAATGATCATAATTTTGATGTAATAATCAGCGAATTCCGAGACTTACACGACCTGGGTATTTTTACAAGGAAGTTATTTATCTGTAACTTATCTGTCATTAAAATCGTATTGAACTTGTTTTTTTTTTAAAAAGGTAGCAATATTTAGAGTAAGGTCAGCAATTTTCAGAGAAAAACTTTTAATGAAGAAAATCTCTCTGCATGATGTACTGAACAATAGAAGTAACCTATATTAAACATGAAACTCTTTATTAAAAAATATTTAATGACATTTTAAAAATTTTAGTCACCTTTAAAACTTCCATTTTTAATCCACAATCAGATGTTTCACTCTCAGGAACAGTGAGCTGATGACTACAAACCTCTAAGAACTGAGGCAAATAAGGCATCAGCAAATGCTTGTCCACTCCCTAAAAAATTTAACTCTCATCTCAAAATGAACAAGATTGAAGTTAAACTGCAACATGATTGAAATCAAAACCTAAATCAAAGACCTTATTCACTTCTTTCATTAATCCAATAAGTCCCATAATGGTAGAAAAAATTGAAGCAGCTCTGGAGCTTGTTCGAATACCGTATATCTAAAAGTATAGAATAAGTAAAGACTATTTAAAGTGTAAAAATAATAAAAAAGATAAAAATATAAAAACCTCAGAAACCTCAGAAAAATATAAAAACCTCAGAAACCTCAGAAAATATAAGAAATAAAACCGCAGAATGTGAAAAATGAAACCTCATGTGAAAAAAATAACTTGATATGTGAAAAATAAAACCTCAGAAAGTAAAAAATAAAATCTCATGATGTGAAAATTAAAATCTCAGGGTATGAAAAAAAAAAAAAAAAAAAAACAACCTCAGGATGTGAAAATATTTTCAACATTTCAGGTAAAATAACAGGAGCAATATGTGGAACTTGCAAATCACTGACTTCACCTGCAAATTCTAGGGAAAAAAAATAAATAAAAAAATCAAACATTATGTTGATAAACCATTGAAAATTTAAATAACCTTAAAACAAGAAAATATATATACATCTAAAGTAAAAAAAAGTATGAAATTTAGAAATGTTGAACAATTGAATTACAATGCAAACATCATTAAAGGGTTTAAAAAAAAATCAAAATTTTAAAGAAACTATTTGTATTACTTTAAATTTGTATTATTTAGTTGTATTTATCTGTTTTTATAAATACTAACATCAGGGTGTTAATATTATGTTTAACATAATAAATAATATGATACAAAAAACAAGGGTAAAGAAAATTATTTTGTATTTAAAATCGTGTTTTATTTTGCTTCTTTTTTTTACTTTTTAAAATAAAAGATTAAACAATATTCCATTTAAACACAAATTATTAAATATTATATATGTAAAATGTGTTGGAGCTATTATAATAGATGGCTTGCATAAATTTACATAAAAAACATAAATTTACTAATAATTTATTTATATTTTTACTAGCATCATAATACAAGCTATTATATATCCATAAAAAACCTTTCCAATTAGGAAAAATGAGGTTTAACAGTTCTAAAAGTTTGAGGTCTAAAAATGAGGTCTAACAGTTTGAAGTCGGCAATAAATTGCCGATCTCAAACTGTTAAAGGCCGGCAAAAAAAATTTGACACAAAGGGGTTACCATAAAACATAGAAACGAGGTCAGCAATTTTTTACCGACGCTTTTAGCTCGGCAAAAAATTGGCCGATTTTTGAGGGCTGCCTATTAGTATTTACTATTAATGGGGGATAACTAAAAAATGAGAATTTTTATATTGGGCTAAAATAAACATAAATGTTTAGAAAATGAAAATTATATTTATTTTAAGCAAAGGTGCATCACTTATTTGATTTGATGAATGCATATTTTGATTCGGGTAACTAATTGTTTGCAGTTCTTAGCTCTCCAGTTGTTTTTGTATACTAATAAACTCAAATATCCAAAAAAAGTCTCTAATTTATTGACACTGAGGCAAGTCTGCTGGATTGCAGTTTATTGGTACATGATTTGGCTTTCCAAGATTGGAATGTTTTGGCTTTCCAAGAAGACTTGTGTTTTTTTGGCATAATGTAATGATGCTTTATCAGGTCAAAACACGTAATTGCCATCTGAATGAGGTTTTTGAAGAAATTGAATCAATATTTTCTTTTAACATTGATTCTAGTATACTTCTTGATTATTAGTCACACTACTTGGCTTGAACCATGGAAAATTGCTTTTCACATATGGCAATGTACAGCATTACTTTCTGCTCAAACACAGCCAATTCCAGTGCTCTTGTTTTTTTTAACAGACTATTCCTTATTTATTCGACATTTTGCAGATATAAGGTTGCATACACTTGAAATATTCTGCAGCATCTCGTTGACTTATTGAATCATTGTTGTTGAAAGCACCATGAAGCAAACTAAGTCCCTGCTTGTTCATTATTTTAGCTGGTCAAAGAAAAATTTTCCACAAGATTTTTGTGCATTTGATAGCACTTTACAATGCACTCACATAATACATCTTGTTTTGAAAGCATTTTAAACACAAATGAATTAGCTGATATAAACATATGATAATTTTGTAAACTAGGATTTTTATTTTAGAACTATAACAGAAATAACTCAAAAAAATTGTCTCTTTAAGTCATTTTAAAGGCACCTCTTTAAGGCATACACCCCTTAAAGTCATACATTTTCGAAGTCTGACATCTGGAGAGCTTTGATTAATTCGTTAAGTGTGACAAAATAAAAATCTCTTCAGAGTCCAAGTTAATGGGATTCTACTGTGTATTATTATTTGTTATATGTATTGCTTATTGAAACTTTCGGAAGCATGCCACAAAGAACAAAAGAAAAAATGTAATGTCACTAAATTCATGCCTTTAAAACCTGGTTTTTACTAATATAACAAATGCATTTCTACAAATAAAGGAAAAACCAAAACATTTTTGTTTGATTTCCATGACTTCACACCAATAAAATTCAAACAAAAATTCCATCCTTTCCCTTGTGTGCACTGGCAGACTTTTGGGTGACCCCCTCCCAATACATGCATACATAATTTATGGATGACAACATGGTTTTATTCATCACATACATATATTGAATGTTTACACTAAATTATTTAATTTAAATAACTTCTTTTTATGGAGACATTCAAAACAACTATATTATTTATTTATTTTTTTCAACATCTTCACTTCCAACAAGGCTGCAAACAACCACTATTAGAGTTGGAAGTTACTGGAAGAGAAAAGATGATTTTATAGTGCAAGATAACGATTAACAGACAACTTAAAATATTTCAAATTATATGAAACAGTAAAACAAGATAAAGGAAGCGAATTTCAAAGAACTGATGTTCGAGGAAAAAAACTAGATGAAAAAGAATTTTTGGAGCACATAGGATTAGCCACGCCAGCTCTTTAGAGCAGTGTTTATTATAGAATTTATAGAAAAGAGAAAGAGAAGCAATATTATGGCAATGTGATAATGGCTGGAGGTTGGCTACAAGAGCAGGTCCAACTATGTTTACAATGCGCTTTTGCACCTTGTCTAAAAGAGGGCATCATTGAAAGATCCACCCAAGATATGGCAACAGTATTCCATACAAGGACAGATTCAAGAGTTAATCCTAGAAGATGAAGGGTAGATGGCTCATTGAATACATTAAAGTTCATATATATATATTTTTTCACCAGCCAATGTGAGCCCCATGCTGTAGCAGAAGTGAGATCTTTTTCAAGCTTAAATGCCCCCTCCAAGCAATCAGAGAGTGTTGGCTTGTTATCAAGACAAGTTTAAATGGTAGTATCATCAGCAAAGAATGTCACATTATATGTGAGAATTTCTGGGAGATTGTTAATGTAGATTTATTAGTGATAATTTGAGAACAATACAGTCTCATCATCCAACTATAAAACTAAATATTTATACAAAAAAGTTTAAAAAACTCATTTTTTTAAACTTTTTTGTATTAATACTTTTTTTTTTTTTGTTTTTTTAACTTTTTTAAACTTTTTTAAATATCTATTTAAAAAAGTTTAAAAAAGTTAAAAAAACAAAAAACTTTTGCTTAAAAAACAAAAACATATAATACGTAAATTTTTGATCTGAATAAAAACGCATTATCGATTTCTAAAAACCTGTATATCAACCATCATTCAAATTCATTTCCATTGGCTCGCATGTGTCAGTTCATTGACACTGTATTTCCAAAGCCTCCCTAAATTTTCTGTTAAACCAGATGTGTGATATCATTACGGTATTTTTACTAGATGTGTGATATCATTACAGATATTTTTACTTGTTAATATAGTTTTTCAAATAAGAACTACATTTAAAGACAGCTTCAAACCAAAATTCCAAATACTTTTTGAAGTTTTGGACTTTTCCCAGGTAATCACATAAGTAAAACTATTTTCAGATCATAAAAGGAGGCAGGTTTTTTTGTGTCAGATAAAGATTTTGATGTTTTTGTTTTATATTTTTGAACAATTTGTTCAAACTTATATTTTTTGTAACCATTTTCAGTAAACACTTGTATTAGAAAATTGACTTTTTGTTGTAAATATTGCTTATTGCAAATCTTATAAGCTCTATGAATGAAACCAGTAAAGTTACTTTCAAGAACTTTTGGATCATGTTCCGAATTCAGTTAAATTTGGATGTTGGTAATTACATCTTTCTGGTGAATCTTGAACTTTTATTGGCCATTTTTGTTATTGATAATATTAATAACTAAAAAATTGAGTGGTATATTTTTATCTTCAAGTTCCTTTGTATATTTATGGCTAGTATTTTGTTGGTTGAGAATATTAAGTAACTTTCTCAACCAAAAACTAACAAGCTTTTGGTTGAGAACATTAACTAGCGTGTTCAATTGATTCAACTTGTAAAGAACTGCTGTCTATGTATCGTAAAAAAGATTTCATGTTAATATATCTTTTTATAGTCTTTTATAGTCTCACTTTCTCAAAAATCATTTTGTAGTTTACTGCAACTTATCAGGTTTTCCAAACCTACAAGTAATAAATTTATAGCAATACCAGGGATGCGGAGCCCCAAAATGACTGTCTGTATATTTTTATTTTTTCATGATCTCTGGCGGCAAGAAGCTCTAAACGTGTTGGTTTATTTATAATCTGCTGTAAGAAAAAAATTTATGATATTTAATGACTTGGAACTAATTGTTTTTAAGCCCAAAATCCTGGAATTCCGGAGTCCTTGCCGCCATTATACATAAGGACTGCGGGTTCAAAAATTGATTGTTCCTTTAACCTAAAAGTCTTGATATTTTTGCTATTAGCAGTCCATAAGTTTTTTTACATTTTTTAAAGCTCCTGGATACCAAAAACTAGGAAGTAATAATCTTTTTGTGACTTTCAAATCAAAAAAGGCGTCCTTTTTGGAACTCCACATCCCTGAGCTAAACATTTTTTGGTTTGTATATTTATAAATGACATATAAAAGCACAATTAAAATGACAAATTGAAGACCTAATATTATAATTGTTTTTGTAAAAAAGCGCTGAAGGCTTATGTACCTTTTTGAACAAGTACTACTTTATGACAAAAAAGAGATTCACCACACAATAAGCATAAGTCGTCTGCTATGCCCATTATGATTAAACTAAATTTCTTTTTAGTGAACTAAAACTTTTTTGAACAAAACTTTTAGGGTCAACTAGATTTAATTATTGTTCTTATATGGATTGGCAGCTTATATTGTGTTGTAAACCTTGTCTAAATAACTACTAAGAGTAATTACCGATTTATGTTACAACAATGATTTTATATATGTGCATTTGAAGCCTTAAAAGAATCGCAATTGAGAAATAATGACTTATAAGTAAGTTATAAACTGTGAACAGTCAATTGGTGAGAAACAAGTTGAACCAAAAGTGATTTCTAAAGTATCAGAGGGAAACAAGAATTAATTCCGCACAATTATAATTAATATGATTATTTATAAATTAACTTATTTTAGATTTTGGTTGAGAAAAGTAGAAATCATCTTAAAACAAGCTCCACTCATTAAACAGTTAAACCTTACATTTAACCTTCAACATTAACTTCGATATATAAAACAAATATAATATAATATAACAAATAATTTCTAATCTCAAAGGGATATGAGCAGACACTCACAACATTGTAAATGTATTAAAAAGCAGTTGATTTCTATTTTTAATATTGGTTTGGCAGCCATCATAGATTTTGTTGGGCATCTTGTTTAGCTCAAAAATAAAAAATGTCGAAAATAATTTCCTTGACCTCTAAAACATAATACTAAATGCAAGAATAATATTTCTAAGTACAAGCTGAGATATTATTAATATCATTTTGAATGCCATCTTAGATACCATTTTGGATTTCAGACAAAGCTCCAGTCCAATTTTGGCCGATAATTTGATGGATCTAAGTTACTACCTCCTTTAAAAATTGGTGTTACATTCGCTAGTTTTCATTCTTCAGGAACTATTGCATCATTGTAACTTTTTGAGAAAATTAAAGATAGTGGATATGACAGAGCTACATTGCATTTCATTAAGATTAATAGATGAATTTTATCAGGTCCAATTGATTGATTTTTTTAACATTTAACTTTTCTAAGTGTTTTGCTATTATTATAGGAGAGAAGCCTTCATTATTTAGGTTGCGCGTTATAGATGATCTTAGTTTAAAATATGGTAACACAACAGGTATTTTTTCTTAGATAATCACAGAATGAAATGTAAACCCAGAATATTTGATATTTTACTTTCGTCCTCATGCAATTGTCCATTCTGACCTCTAAATAATTTAATTTTTTGTTTGGCTGATTTATTTTTATTTACGTAAGAATAGAATAGCTTAGGATTTGTTTTAGATTTTTTTGCTATATTAGATTCATATTTATAAACTTATATATAGTTTATAAGCATAAAGTTATTTGTAATAATAAATTGATGATTTATTAGGATGGTGTCACTCATACAGAGATCAAAGATGATCAAAGAAGTGACACCAATTTTTTTTTTATTGCCAACTTATTTCTAAGTAAAGTTAAGGAGAGTAATATAATTATATATAGTTTCTTTAAAAAGCTTGATTTATTTGATGATAAATATTTAAACCACAGTCTTTTTTTTTAAATTAATTTCTTTCTTTAATATTTTAGTTAACCATAATGGACCAATCTTTGACTGAACATTTATTGATGGCACAAGTTTTGAAACTGACTTATTATAGATTTTTATAAACAGATTATAACATTCATTAAAATTTTTATTTAGAAATAATGTCTGCCAATCAACTTCATTATAAAACCGTGACAATTTTGCGAAATTTGATTTTCTGTATAAAATTTTTCTATTACCAACATTTAGATGGATAGTGTTATTCACTATAAGATCATATGTTATTATATCATGGCCTTTATTTGAATCACCCAATAAAGGCTCATGTTTTATTTCAAGAATTCTATTGTCTTTATCAGTGATAATTAAGTCTAAAATGTTTTCTTTAATCTCATTTATTTGAAAAGCTGGTTTAAAAACCATTTGAAAAAGAAAACAATTATTTAACGTTGTAACAAAACTATTTTCATATGTATTTCCTAACAAATATTCACTTAAACCATATTTGTTCCATTTTATTTTAGGAAAGTTAGTCTCCATTAATTAGAAGACAATCTACTTCTTTTTGACTCGCTAACTTTTTTTGCTACATAATTTACATCATTTAGCTGGTTATTTAGTTCTGCTGTTGCATTTGGTCTTTGTTATTTAGTTCTGCTGTTGCATTTGGTGGTCTATATATGCAACCTAGTAATATTGTTTCATTTGCTAATTTTATTTTGCACCAAATATGTAAATCTAAATATGTACTAGTTTGAAACCAAGTTTCGCATACCATTATCAAGTCAATATTTAATGTAATAATTTCACTAATAAATAGAGATAATTTAATTGAGTTGTTAATAGAAGTTGCATTTGTATACCAGCGTTTTAGTTTGTTTAATTGATTTTTATTGTTTGAAGGTTCAAAATCATTGCTTTTAGTATTATTGTTATTATTATTATAGTTACTGATGTTGTACTTGTTAATTTTTACATTTCTTTTAAAATTTTTTGAATTTTGATAAGTCATTTTTAATTTTAATTTTGATAATTTTCTCATCTTTAATGATGAATCAAAAGGGCTGATTTTCAGTTTGATTTTTACTTAATTTCTTTCTTTCCGCGATTAATAATTTTTTGCTTTCTCGTTGCGCTAAAGTGAGGTCAGGGTTAATATAAACTTTATTTCTATATTCGTTGATTTTACTCTATTTGCTGGCTTCTTTAATTACTTCTTGAGCAGAATGTTTATTGTCCATTTCGACAATTATAATTTCTGGCTTTTCATTTTTTGAATGAAAACGATGATGATACATTTTTCTCATTATCAAGTTTAAGTGCTGTAAATATTTCATTAATTGCATTTTTATCATCATCTATTTTTTTGTTTACATCAGTTTTTTTTTCTTTTTGCTCTTTCCTATGTTTCATTGTTTGTAAAAAATATTCAATTAAGCAAATCATATGCATATATAATCATATATTAAACATACAATACACTTATTATACAAGCATAAAAACAAGTTACCTGAAAACACACGCATTGCTCCATGAATTACATTTTGATTCATACTATGTAATGCTTGCATAAGCAACATAAACAAATCAGGCCAATCATTTGGCCAATCATATGATGCAATTTTTGACATGGCATAGGCCTATAAAAAAACAATTCATAATAATAAAAATACAAATATAGACTATATATTGCTCAATAATGAAATTATATGATATATATATTATATAATATAATTTAATTAAAGGGTATATTGATCAAACATAAATAAAACCATTGCAAAACTTTATTGTTTTAACCATCTAAAACATAACATTGACTTAATGTTAATAACCCAACATTAATTCAATGTATATGAATTAAGGTTAATATAATGTATAAAACCTGACATTGCAAGTACTCATTTTCCTTTTTAATACTCTTTTTTATTTACATTAACGATCTTCCAGATATACTCAAATCTAAGGTGGAATTGTTTGCTGATGATACTATCATTTATTCATGTCTTAATAAGAAGCTAACACTCTCTAATTGCTTGGAGGGAGCATTTGAGCTTGAAAAGGATATCACTTCTATTACAGCATGGGGCTCACAATAGCTGGTGAACTTTCATTCAGATAAAACTCAATTTTTCCAACTAATCTTTATCGCAATAATTTAGATCTTCATATATTTATGAACAATCTTCCTTCATTTATGAATGTACTCGATGAGTCATCTACCCTTTGTCTCCTAGGATTAACTCTTGATTACTATCTTTCTTGGAAAACATGTATCAAATCCATTGAAAAATTAGCATCTGCTAAGGTTGCATCTCTTTATCGTGCTCGACACATTCTTACTCCGGATTCTATTCTTTATCTCTATAAATCTTAATTCTGTCCTTGTATGGAATACTGTTGCTATATCTGAGGAAGATCTTCTAATGATGCCTATTCTCTTTTAGACAAGGTGCAAAAACGCATAGTAAACATAATTGGACATGCTATTGTAGCCAACCTTCAACCATTATCACATTGTTGTAATGTTGCTTCTCTTTCTCTTTTCTATAAGTTCTATAATGGGCACTGCTCTTAAAAGATAGTATCTCTTGTGCCATCTACTAATAATCATTCTTGTGTTACTCGTCATTCAATTAAATCTCATCCTTTTGTGAATGTTCCACAAACTGCTCCAAAAACTATTATTCCTCTAGTTTTTTTCCTCGAACACCAGTTCTTTGGAATTCGCTTCCTTCATCTTGCTTTCCTGATTCATATAATTTGCAATCTTTTAAGTCATCCGTCAATCGTTATCTTGCTCTATAAACTTTATCTTTTCTTTTCCAGTAACTTCCAACTCTAATAGTGGCTGCTTGCAGCCTTGTTGGAAGCAAAGATATTGCTAATTCTTGCAACAATCTAACATTTTACCAACATGTGTATGCTGGCTGGGAAGTAATAATTGAAAATCATTAATTTGAAAGAGTATCTAATATAAACAATCTAGTTATTTGATTTCATTATGAAAATTTTTATTTCTTATATTTTATAATTTGTTAAAATTTTCTAGCAAATTAAATTAACATTAACTTCAATACTTTGTTCATAGATACAAATGATTAGTTACAAATTTTTAAAATAAAAACAAAGTCATCATGGGTGTAACACAAAAAAAAACTCATCATAGTTAATAAACAAATAAAACAATATTCAAAAATAGATACTTTTTAAAAGTTTAAAAAAGCGAAAAGTTAAATTAAAACCCTTTTTCTAAATTGTTAAATATTATATATTTTACTAACCACGCTGGAACGAATTTTGCTATTTTCATCTTGCAAACCATTGGGTAAGTTCTGCCGGATCAAAGATTTTACCTAAAATAAAAGTTTTTAAAATAAAAAACTTTAATTTCATTTATGCTTTTTTTCTATTGCGAATATAAAAATGAATATTGTAAGGATAAAAATTAAATTTTTTAAATGTTTAAAAATTATGATAACTGTTAAATGTTATACATCAGGGCTAACTTCTGGTGGACGAAACTTTTCTTCAGATAATGAAGACCAATGACAGTCTATGTATTGTTTTAAAAGAACAGAAGCTAGCTAAAAAAAAATCTTTAAGTATAAGTAAACAATTACAATATAAACAAAATTATTATGATATATAACAACTAATAACAACTGTGTCATCCTCACTAAAAATGACAATTAAAATAAAAATGCTTGTTTATACTTTTTATAAATCAATTCTTAAAAAAGTTGAACATAAAAATAAATTTGATGTAAATTAGTTAAAAATACAAATTGTTTAGATGACCTTTGGTTGCTTTTTTATAAAAATGCCACATATAATTCTTAGACTGAACAATAATAAACACAGTTTAACACAGAACAATAATAAACACAGTTATATTTCTTCTGCAATAAAAGACAAAAAATTTAATTTTAAAAACAAATTGTTTCACATTAAAAGATGGTTTTTAATTTTGCATAAATGATGTCTCTTCCCAAAATAAACATATATATATATATATATAAAACAAAATTATTTAAAAAAAAAAAAAAAATTTACTCCTAACAAGGCTGCAACCAACCACTAAATAAGTTAAAACAGAAAACGTAAAGACTATTAAAGAGCATGAAAGTGATTAACAAAAAACTTAAGATCTATGTGTTAGGAAATCATGAAGACAGGAGAGAATTTCAACACACCAATGTTAGGGGAAAAAAAATGAAAAAACAAAACATCTTTAAGCATGAAGAAAAAATTACAGTAAAAGTATGCAATTTAGCTGAATGACAAGTCATGCTAGATTGAGTTTTGGTTGATGAAACAAGTGATGACAGCTTGTATAAGCACCAACCATGGTAATACTTGTACAAAAGAAAAAAGACTACCATACAAGGTGCTCAAACTTTGCAACAAAAACAATTCTAACAACTTTTTGATCTTGTTTAAAAGAGAGGGCTTTATTAGATGAACCAATCAAAATATGAAAATAATATTTCTAAAAAAGATGAGGCTTTTTACTGCCTCTTATCTTTTTTAGAAATTTTCATATAAAGAGTAGAAAAGAGGCTTTTTACTGCCTGCTACTTTAGCAGATGCTAACTTTGAAATGGATTTTTTATATGGTTTCCATAAGAGGTAAGTAATGAATGATAATCCAAGAATACATAAAGTAGAGAAATCAGTAAGAATTTTGTCATAGATCAAAATAGGAATATATAAGGGGTTGTCAACAAATTACATCACACAATTTTTCAACAGAACAACATACTATTTGTGAGGCTAATTTGAGTTCATTTTCCGTCTCATTTTCTGTGATTATAGTGCTGATGGATCTTTTTTTAATTTGTAAACACTCCAATAATCAAAATTCATCCATTTGTTGGGACACTAGGTTTGAATCCACAGACTATTTTTCTATGTACTTTCGTTTAACACCACTTCACTCTATTACCGTTCTCTTTATTCTATATTGATCTCCTTTATCTCAAGAATAACTTTTTTTCAATGTTATTTCTGATCAAACGGACGTTTCTTTCATTCTTTATTTTTCAGCCATGTTGGTGGCTGTCTTATTCTGCAGGTGTGACACAACTTTTGCCTTTCTCAATCTTTTTTTCTCAATCTCTAACACAAATAGTCAATATTCTAACTTGCTTTCCAGACAATCCCAATCATTTACCTTCCCTACTCGACTTATGTCTTGTTTCTGATTTTAGTCAGTGCTCAGTTTCTCCACCTTCATCCTTAGACACTTCTGATCACAGTTTGATCTCTTTAAAACTTTTATCTCATTCTTATTTATTGTCAGAATCCCCCTACCATTGTACCTCTTACAACTTGACTCTTTCCATGATTTTCTTCGCAACAGCCCTCGGGTAGAAATCTTTTGTTTTCATGCTGACAAATGTGCCTTTGTAACAACTTGGATTCAGGCTGACATAGAATCTTTTATTCCCTCCTGACAATTCCAAGTCAAGACTCACTTTTCTCCATGATTTCAACTCATTGTGTTGCTGTCATTTCCAATTGTAACCATTACTTCCATATCTATTGCCACAACAATTCTTTAGAAACAGACATCTGTTTATTATTGCTAGAAACCATTGTAAAAAGCTATTATCTAATGCCAAAACCTGATATTTTCAGATCACAAAATCTCATATTTCATCTCAAAATTTAGGCTCCAGAGACTTCTGGAATATCTTTAATAGTGTCTATAACAAAGTAAAATCTATTCTTTCACCTATTTCGTATTTTTTAGATATTGTCACCTCACCTAAAGACAAAGCTGAATTTTTTGCTTAAAACTTCTCAGCAATATCATCTCTTGATTACACTAATTGTGCTTTTTCTGATATAACCAACAAACAGGTTGACATTCGTATCATTCCAGTTTCTGTATCTAAAGTGATTTCCTGCTTAGACTCTTTTACAGCTTGTGATCCAAACAAGGACCGGAGCTGTTGTCTATACTTTCAAAATTATTTAAAAAGTGCTTATCTAAGTCTTGTTTTCCAGCCTGTTGGAATCCAGCATCTGTTATCCTTATTTTCAAAAATTCTGGAGAGCGATCTCACTCATTTAACTACCATTAGTCTTCTTCCAATCATAAGCAAGGTTTTTTTGAACCTTTAATTAACGACTGAGTCTTTAATTAGCAACAAAGTTTTTTGAGTCTTTAATTAACAATTATTCTTTTTACAATCATAAGTAATTTTTTTTTTGAGTCTTTTATTAACTTAATCTCTTATTTTGAATCTAATAACTTACTTTCTAATCATCAATATGAATTTCAATCTTCTCATACTTCTGCTGATTTGTTAACGGTAATTACTGATAGGTTTTATTATGCATCAGATAGATGTGGAGAGTTTAAGGTTTGATAAAGTTTGGCATGATGGTCTTCTCCATAAGCTCTCTTCTTACAGTGTATCAGGTAACATCTATAGATTAATGAATCCTTCTTTGCCAATTGTAGTATAAAAGTTGCCCTCAATGTACAGCACTATACTTCATTAGCTGTAACTTGAGGGGTTCCTAAAGACTCTAACTATGGCCTGATACTTTTTTAAATTTACATTAACAATCTCCAAAAAATTCTCACATCTAAGTTGGCATTAGTCGCTGATGATACTACCATTTATTCTTATCTTGATAAGAAGTCTCTGATTCACTCTCTGATTGCTTGGAAAGGACATTTGAGCTTGAAACGGATTTCACTTCTGCAATAGCATGGGGCTCTCAGTGGCTAGTGAACATGGTTGCCATATCAATGTGCAAAAATGCATTGTAAACATAGATGGACGTGCACTTGTAGCTAACTTTCAACCATTACAGTATTTATAGAAAAGAGAAGTATCATTCCTCATAATGATACTTTTTTCTATAAATACTATAAGGGTCACTGCTCTAAAGAGTTAGTGTCTTTTGTGCCATCTACTAAAATTTTTTTTCCATTCTTGTGCCATTTACTAAAAAAAGCTTTTGAGCTTTGATGTCAGCAATGTCAGTGGTATTAAAGCCAAGCTATTAGTGCGATCAATGCAATGTCATCAGTGCGATGAGCATTGTTGTTAGTGGTGAGCAGCTCACCACTAACAACAATATTGGTCAAGGGATTAAGAGAAAGAGTTGGTTAATTTGATCAGAAACAACATCAAAAATAGAGTCTTGGGAAGGAGAACAATAAAGAAAAGAAAGGTGATACACATAAACAATAATAAGAAAGCACATGCAACAACAATACTCAATATGGCTGGTATTTATAAAGGACTATTTAAAAATTAATCAGTTGTATGGAGTTTGTTGCAAACAAAATTCGTTGATGCTAAAAATATTTCAACCAATCCTATTTACAATGTTTCCATTTAATCCACACTGTAAAAAAAACTTTTATCAAACTCTTTCTATTTCTATGGAAAACTCCATTATCCAGTATTTACGGTTTTAGCATAATTTTACAACAATTGTAGTAAAAGAAATGTTCAGCTAAACATTTTGGGTAATTGTTGAGCTGGTATTATGTTTACATGATGTTCACATGATGTATTATGTTTGGTATTATGTTGCTGTTATTATGCTGGTATTATGATGTATTATGTTTGGTATTATGTTGCTGTTATTATGCTGGTATTATGTTTACATGATGTTTACATGATGTTCTATTTAAGTGCAGTTTTTACTACAGTTTTCTTTTTTTTTGAGAACAAAATTTTTTATGAAGAAATAACTCACCTGCCTAAGATCTACTGGAAATGATACTTCTATTGTGATTTCAGTAAGAATTAGGCCAAAATCTAAAAGAACCCATTTAAATGTTGTTATAAAATTATATTATCATGTTATGTCAATTTAAATCATTAAATGATAAAATTTAGCAAAAACAAAAACTTTAAGCTACTTAATAAATAAAATATTAATGTTAAAGCCAGAAGTTAATTGGCTTAGTTAATTGAAGTTAATAGAAGTTAATTGGCTCCAGTAAAAAAAAAATTAGTACAAGCATATCAAAAGAATTTTTTTTTTTCAAATACAAAAATTTATTAAAACAAAAAAAAAATAACTTATAGGATAGCTATATTTAAACTAAAACAAATTAGAATTCAGACAAATTAATAGACTATATTAATCTTGTTAATAATCTTGTATAAATTAATAAAACCTTCAGAGTAAATTTACTATTGTGGATTTAGAAGGTAATAATATATTCTATTTACATTAATATTTAAATTCCAAGTTAATGCTGACTTATTTTTCAGATAAAGAAGAAAAAGTATAATAATAAAAAAAACAAAGAAAAAAAAAACTTCTTTAATAAATGCCCTTTATACTTGAATACTGCCAGTCCAAATTCATATCGTTAGTGATATTATAATATTATAATCTGTAGAGACTTTAATGCATCCATGATGTATTAAAGTCTCTACAGATTTTTAAATTCAGTATGACATTTCATGTGCAACTAAATTTGTTTAGGGGTATTTCATCATTTCAATATTTCATGTTTAATTGACACATATAATTGTATGTATAAACACAAATACAAAAGACCATTAGGATTAGCAATGTCATACTTATTTATAGAGCTGTGAGGGATTCAGTGCATACATTGACTGGTATTGGGAGAATATTCAATGGAGTAGCTGCTACATAGACTGAGGGTTTGGATTGGGGCAGCTATAAGTTTTTTTTTATTATTTCTTTTTTATTTTTCTTCTGAAAAAACCATATGGGTTGGCAAAACATTCCAAAAATTTATCTCATATGGGCCATAATAAAAAATAAATAATTTGCAGAGCAAATATTGTATAAACATAGACATTCAGGCCAAGGCCAGTTTTTTTTGGAAGTTTCAGTGCACAAATATCACACCAAAAACGAATGAACATTTAATTGAAATGTAATTAATACTAATTAATTAATTATTAATAGAATAGTTGACTATGTCAAAAAATAAGGTACCAATGACTGTTATAAACAAAAATGACAGTTATAAACAAAAATTGTGAACAAATTTGTTTGAAGATTGCTACTTATAAACATTTTACTAGGCCCAAAAAGATAGCAAAATTGGAGAGTTTAATTAATAAGGAGAGATTACAGTTGAAAAAAACTACAAAAAAAAACAAACAAGCTGAAGACTGAAAGAGAGTTCTATGGAGTGAGAAGTCTAAATACTTTTTGACTGAAAGAGAGTTCTATGGAGTGAGAAGTCTAAATACTTTTTGACTGAAAGAGAGTTCTATGGAGTGAGAAGTCTAAATACTTTTTGACTGAAAGAGAGTTCTATGGAGTGAGAAAATACTTTTTGACATTAAATAAAGAGATCAAAAGGTCAGCAGAAAAACATCTGAATGTTTGTTGAAAATTATGAAGAAAGAGAATAACCCAAGTTATGCAAAAAACTTATTAGGATCCAATATCAATCAAAAAACTTCTGAAAGTTATGGATTAGCCGACCCAGCTTTCAGACATAAATCCTATCAAATTTTTGGGACAAGATGGACAGACAAAAAAGAAAAGTGAGCCCAACATTTATAGAACATTCTAAAAGTAAAATGCTTTTAAACTTTTTTTTAAAAAGACAAATAGTATAGAGTTAATTCAAAGTAGAGATCTTGTAAAAAAAATAAAACAACAATATTAAACAATGTATAATGTAATAACAATAAGAATGTAAATAATAACAATAAAATATTAAAAAACAATAAAAAAATAATAAAAATGTAAATAAAAAAATAAAAATATGATAAGTTTAATAGCATTAATAAAAATTGTAAGATAGGTAAAAGTTTTTTAGTATATATATATATATATATATATATATATATATATATATATATATATATATATATATATATATATATATATATATATATATATATATATATATATATATATATATATATATATATATATATATATATATATATATATATATATATATATATATATATATATATATATATATATATATATATATATATATTAGGGGTGTTCATTTTTCAACAATTTTGTTTTTTTGACATGTATGCAGGCTTAAAAGATGGGCAATTACAAGTTATTTCAAAAAATATTTTTTATTTTTCAAAAAAATTATTTTAACACCTTTTTTTTATCATAAAAAATTATTTTAACACCTTTTTTTTATTTGATAACTAGTAAGATTTCCAAAATTTTTCAAATTTTGAAATTCTTACTAGTTATCAAATATCTAAAGACCTAATTGTGCTACAGACATGTATACGACATATTTTATAGTTAGCCATGTCTACTTGACCTTTGGAAAAAATTGAGTTCTTATCTCTATTGGATCACCTTGCGCCAAATGATTTTTCAAATTAAAGCAAAAAAAATATAGGAAAATCAATATCAACTGCTAAAAAGTGCAGATTTTGGCGCAAATTGTTGAGCCCTAAAAATGTTATGCAAGGTCCTTAACAATATGCATTTTAAATTAAAAATAAATATATTTGCATATCTTGTCTTTAATAACCTGTTAAGGGGTCAGGGTCCTAATTTTAATTTAAATGCAATTAACCATTTTATGATGCTATATAAATAATACTTTTGCTCACAGGCTTTTTTTGAGTACAAGTACAAGATTTGCAAATATTATGAAAACAATCTAAATACTGTGTCGTTTAAGAAGCGTGAATAATATTCTTACAAATCGGTACCTATAAGTACATTTGTACTTAAGTTTTTTATGCATGTTTTATTCAATTATTCTTAATCTTTTTTCTTAATGTTTTTTTCTTAACTTTATTAAATGCAGCTGGTAAGTCATGAACTGTTTATCTTTTTTAATCAAAACTTTAATGAGTTAATTCAAATATTCAATTCCTTAGTTTAGTTTAACTTTATAACTAAAAATATGAACCGCGAATACAGAGGGAATCCTTTTTTTTTAAATACTGAAGTTCAAAAACAAAATATGAAGAGAAGAGAAAGTAGTCATGGAAAAAAATACTTCTTAGTTGGTAAACCAGAAAAGATGCCCTCAGTTCAACTTCCAACCCAGGCTGATGTTATTAAGCATTTCCTCTACTTAAAGGAAAAAAATGGTTTCAATTCAGAAAAAAAGTGACTTGTTGCTTGCCCTTTAAGTAACAGTTTCAGGTTACTTTATACATTTTACCTTTGACGAGACTTAACATTATTTTAAAAAATTTTTACTAGCTGTTTGTAATTAATAAACTATGCTTTTAATAGTTTGAAGTTTTATATTTTAAAAATAAAATAAAAATAAATTATTTGTCTTAGAATACAGTGTACCACTGCAGTTACTGAATGTAGCAAGGAATGTATTCTTGGAAGATTATGATTTCCATGGCTAAGATCCGGTTTCCAAATGATTGAACCAGTTACTCTGCAAAGAAATCTATTTAAATTTATTAATAGATATTTGAACCTTAAGAAGAGTCAGCATAAAATTCAAAAAGGATATACTCAATCTCGTGCTGGGTTCGTTAGGACTGTAAGAGGTTAAATAATATTTAAATAAACATTTATTAGATTAATAATTTATAGTTCAGAGATTTCAAAGGAATCTATATTTTTAGGATTGTTCTGGTTAAGTGATTCTAAAAAAAGTCTAATCAAAGCTATCAAAACAGACAAAAACAGGATTCCATCTGACAAATAGGAGGATTTACTTTTTCTTAGAGATAAGCTAGAAGAAAGAAAAATGACTCTGGGACACATTGATAATCGAAGACTAAAAATTGAAAAGAGGAGAAAAGAACGTTCTGTGAGAACTTATGCACAAACTGCCAGCATATTAGTTGAGCCTAGTACATCCAGAACTGCTGAAAATTTACTTGGATTTTCGTTTACGGAATCAAGTTTAGAGTCTAATGGAGAGAATACCTATGCGCCTAATTTTAGAAACAGATATTATGGACAGACCATTACTCTTACTAAAGAGGATATTAAGGAAACGGTGAGGGGTAATTCCATGTAAAAGTGGGACAAAAAATTGAAATTTTTCAGTCACCCTCTCAGATTTCTTTCAAATTTGAACCAGTGGTACCTATCAATATAACAAAAAAAAATGTAAAGTTTGAGATTCCAAATCCAAACCGTTCAAAAGTTATGACATTTTGAAATTCAGCCTAAAACGTCCTATTTTTTTCCACTTCCGCCATTATGAACTTTGTAGTAGTACTTTTAATTGAATAATTTAAGATCTAGTGGAAGAATGTGGCTGAAAATCAGTACCTGACCATTTTTGAGGGTGCTGAATTCAAAAATGTAGATAAAATAGTGAAATTTAAATTTTTTGATAGTTATTTTTTCATTTTAAAATAGCCAGTCAAATTTTTTGTTTTGTAACCATGGGTTGTGCTTTCATTAATTCCCGAAGTTGCCCAAGTCTCATGGATTCGATTTTTTTTTCAAATGAAGTAGGTGATCCTAGGCTATCTTTATAAAAAAAAATGGTTTTGGGTTCTTAAAGCATAGAAAAGATATTTCATTTTGAAATTTAGACAAAAAATTTCTTTATTTGGCATCTATTCTCTATTATAGATTTTATAGCGATACTTATTGTGTGAATAATTTAAGATCTAGTAGAGAAATATGACTGCAAATTGGTATCTGACCATTTTTAAAGGTGTTGAATACAAAGACGAAGAGAAATTAACCCAATTCCTAATATTTTAAAATAATATTTGAATTTTAAAATGGTATAATATTACCTAACCAAAAAACGGGGTAACATTTTCACAAATTGCCTGACTCTCATGGGTTCAATTGTGGTGTGTAAAAACAGTTTATTAAGGTTGATTTTGAT